ATATAATATTATATTATAGAGATCAGTGATTATCCATAGCAGGCCAGCAAATTTTGAAATTTCACTCACTTGATGGCAGCACACACACAGCTGTTGCTAACCAATAGCGATGCGCCGTCTTATCACGTGATTCTTTGCATCACAGAAAGGACAGGAGGAAGTGTTGTCTGTTTTCATTTTTCTGTGAGCGAAATATGTAGTTTTCCTCTGTGAATATGAACTGGATTTGACAGAAAAGAACATAGTTAATCAGTTCAATAACGTGAGTAATGTTATATAATAAGCGTGTTTTTGTTTTGGCGTTTGACGTTATATAGAATGAATTCAACCCGGCTACTTCAGGCCTTGTAAATGTAATGTATAAGGTGTTAGCTCGTGTAGCAGCCTTTTGCTCGCAGCGCGAATGGGAAATGCAATCGTTGCGGCGGTAATATGTCGCGTTTCACTTTCAATCGTAATACTACTACAATTCAATACGTACTGTAATACTAAAAGTGGCATAAGTAACATTGTATTTATTATTATGAGTTCTCAAATTGTATTGATTATCTTGATCCGGGACAGTTTCATTAGACTAGTGAGTCGTGACAGTGTTTTATCAGTTGAATTTACACGAAGTACACTTTCGTTAGTAATACTAATAGCATAGTAGGCCTTACTAGTAGTAATATTATAATCAATATTTCTTTTGCTGTTGTAGTACGTTGCAGTATCCAAATTTGGCATCAACATTTATAGGCTATATTATAACAATTTCATATCGTACATTACAATTGATTGTCAGTATGGCTCATACTCATAGGGTCTATGTCCCCCAGGGTACTGCCGGAACGTACCCTGGTAACTATTTGATATGGTTAGGGTTAGGGAGTAAGCGTAGGCGACTCCCTAGACTCGTTAGTGGAGTAGACGAGGTACGGTCCGGCATATTAGATAGTACCAGGGTACGTTCCGGCACTGTACCCTGGGGGACATAGACCCTCTCAGCGTCAGTATGTTTACCACGCTTACCATAAATGCACGTGTATCAATAACGGAGATGTATTGATAGTAATTAGTATTATATTTATATGGACGTCATAAACTAGTTGTGTATTTCAGCTGAAATAATCAGCCACTCGAAAGGCTGTGCAGAGAAGATGAGCGACCAGTTCGTAATGGATATCAACAATTTAAACACACTGGATAAGGAGTGTAGTGCCCTTGGTGGCTTGTTCCAGACGGTCATGAGTGACATGAAGGTTAGTTCTTGTTTTTTTCCCCGTGAAAATATGAATATGATGAAAAATTTTAACATATGGGTAATATTAGTGCCCTATTCAAATGATCTCGGGGGTATGCTTGGACCAATACTGTATAATAAGCCTATGGTAATTTGTCTGACCTATGTTCCTAACATGCATACATGCATATAAAGTTTTAAATTATAGCTGCAGCGATTGTGAAGAAATTTACATTTAATTAATGACTAGAAATTATGTTACATATAAAGATTTTATATTATATATGCAATACATCGTTTACTAATTGGGTAATAAAATAGACTGTCTCACACAATAGGGTAATATATATATATGCAATTATTGAGGTAATATTGAATATTATAAAACATGAAATTACTTGGCAATGTAATTTTATCAACTTTGCAAGTAATCACCATATTGGCTCCTGTTCTTCCTGTTATGTGATAAAAATTGATGGTAATTTACATTAACCAGCCATAAATAAATGGGCAACAGTTCATAAACCAAACTATTAGTACAGATAGGCAGCTGCACGGGCATTGACAGGTTATGTGCTGTTCACAATATGTAGGGTAATATTAGGCATTGTATCTCCCTTTTCTTTGTTAGAAGACACGGTTTTTTCTAACGCGGTCTGTTGCAATACAGTTGCCAAGTGATGTGCATGTACATCAAGAGCTAATAATACCTAGAGTGTACAACGGAAAAACGGGAAAATAGTGCTATTTCACGACAACATTATTCTACTTTGCCTGCGAGTCTATAATAATTTCATGGTATTGCATTAAGCAGAATTCTTTGCTCTCTAAAACAAGACCAACCGCTTGTCAATACGATACTCCTAGGCGGAGATATCGGCTCCTAAACCTCCCCTCCCACATGCCAAACGCCGCCTCGAATCCACTTCTGTCCGCATCCTTCACGCGGCTAAGCGTTGCTTCGTGAGAGTTCGGTTTTTCCGCCATAATTTTATGAATGATTTTCGGGTGCAGGTGCAGGGTGGAGGTGACTTTCGGGGGCATCGCCTATGCCCTTATCTCCCATTATCTTTCCTAGCACGGGCATTAGCCCGTCATGATGGAGCCGGCAATGTTTTTTTAATTAAGTCTCTACAACGCAGCTAGTAAGAGTACCAAATTTGGGCATGTGACATCAATTATCAGCGCTCCAAGCGGCGACGGAAAACGATAGCCAAAATGCTTAGCCGCGTGTAGGATGCTGACAGAAGTGGATTCGAGGCGGCGTTTGGCATGTGGGAGGGGAGGTTTAGGAGCCGATATCTCCGCCTAGGAGTATCGTATTGACAAGCGGTTGGTCTTGTTTTAGAGAGCAAAGAATTCTGCTTAATGCAATACCATGAAATTATTATAGACTCGCAGGCAAAGTAGAATAATGTTGTCGTGAAATAGCACTATTTTCCCGTTTTTCCGTTGTACACTCTTGATGTACATGTATATGTTTTTGTGTTTTTTGTCCTGAATTTGCAATTACTGCAGATACGTTCAGGAGTCTATTGATAGACTCCTGATACGTTTATATGCCAACTGATGCCACACTGTGAGAGAGTGGCTTGCATTTCCGAGTTACTGTTCTGCATTCACTGAGCCTCCCTGTTGGTGTTCAGCCTACAGTACATTGCAGTATGGCCACTAATCTCATTTGAAGCGCTGGTGTTCTAATAACATTTGTTCAGCGGCGATGTACTGTTGTGTCTCTAAACAGAGCAATGCAGCCGTTTTTGCTATTATTACAGAGGGAATTCTGTGATCCATATGTCCCGAGTAAGGCATACATTATAGTTATATGTGCATGTTCGTAGCCAACTCCCTGGTGGTCACTAGCACTATGTTAGAACGTTGGGTCACAGCAACTAATAGTTGGTAATATTTAGTGAGTTGTGTTGGCCAACCTTGATAGGTAGGTAGTCATGGGACAATCTCTTATGATCTGACCTCATAGCAGTAGAATGAGTGTAGAAACAAAATACGATGATATCTGTATGATTCAATGCTATGACCAACGTTAGGTGGATACAAACTATTTTAGTTGAGGTTATACGCTAACAGGGGTAAACATTAACTTTTGAACACGGGAGTCCAACGGACTCCCTACCCTCAAAAAGAAGGAGTCTGCAGTCTGAGGTTCAAAATTTTAGATATTAAAGCAATAACGCATGTGCTTATTTGGAAGATTCATGCGGTTGCACGTCTGCCAAATTTTCTTTGGCCATTAGCTGAGAAAATACGGTAATTCCGCGAGGCCGTGCTCTGGAACGAACTAGATAGTATGGTAGAATTTTCAGGGAGTCACACGGACTCCTGCATATGTCAAATCACGAAGTCCGACAGTAAATCAGAGAGTATTTGATTCCGGACTCCCGTTAATTTCGCACCCTGCGATAATAATGCATACATGATCAACCTCGTGAAGTAATCTAGTTACTTTAAGATTTCGTTCTTCCATATATATGTAATACCCTTACCTGTCCTCATGGTAAAAAGCAAAACTTTCGTCTGTGTTCTGATGCACCTATTCATTTAGTTGTCTCTGTCTGTCACGTATTGACTCACACGCTCCTATCCCATCATTATCTATATGAATTCCATCATTATCATTATCAATATTAGCAGGAGCAAACATAACTAAATTTGTTTATATTCGCTCATGATTGTATATAACTATATTGTTGTCTCATATTATGCTGAAGTACTGTAACAAGTGGTAAAATGAGGTGCTATGTACATTACAATGATTTGTGCAGGTTTGCAAGTGCGTGTGCGCGTGCACGCAATTTTGTGTGTGCGTGTAGCCGTGTACGTATGTGTGTGTGTGCGCGCATGTGTGCGTGCGTGTGTGTGGTGTTGCGTTGTTGTTAATGTTGTACGTGCATGTGTGTGTGTGTGCGTGCATGCGTGTGTGTGTGAGTACGACTACGAGCGTGATTGACCAGGTGTGTGATCGCAGACTGTACCTACACGGTGCGGTCCTCCTGCACGTGAATTCGTGGTCATTCAGCTGAATAATTGGCCTTGGCTGTGCGCGCCGACCATGTATAATTTAAGCTTAGCAGACATGGTCCCCGGTGATGATGAAACCAGAGGTTTGGCACCAGGTTGATAATCTTGATTCGCCTGTAGGCACATGGACTTTTCAGTAGTTTTATCTTCTCCACTATGGACAATTGAATGTCTCTGTTTATCTATATATAGTTTATCTGTGTGAGTGCGTGCGTGCGTGCGTGCGTGCGTGCGTGCGTGCGTGCATGCGTGCATGTGCGTGCATGTGCGTGTGTGCGTGCGTGTGTGTGTGTGTGTGTGTACGTGCGTGCGTGTGTGCATGCGTGCGTGTGTACTCGTGTGCGTGCGTGCATGTTAGAGTAAGCTTGAGCTAGTACGTGCATCTGTGTTTGAGTACATGGAACCGCAGAATTGTCAAGATTTGATTTCTAGGTTTGCATGCCGCTTAAAAATACATTATGCTTATTGTTATGTAAATTCATTTATTACGCGGTTGTGCTGACCAGTAAGTTGAAGTAACCATTGCTATTTTTTATGCAGGCTGGCTATCCAGTGTGGGAAGACTTGGCTGCTAAAGCACTCAAGCTGCACTCGTCCATGAAGTATGTATTGTGCCCATCTCTCTCTGTGGCCTTATCTAGTAGTTATAGATGCAAACCTACGTGTACAGTGTCTCCATGGCGTGCTACAGTACACTGGTCTGATGCTGTATACATGGTTCTGAATTTTTTTTGTCTACGTTTAATTAAAGTGTGAATAGTAGGTGACATCATGTGCTGGATTAAATCACAAGATAGAGGAGGTTGGCTCCTTGCATTTGCATCATTTGGAGTAGCTTCTATAAATATATACTTGGAGGGAAGGTGGGTTTGTGAGAAAAACTGCCATGCGCACTGCGCTCGCAGGCGAGTGCTTGTACTTGCAAAAAAATCTGCACTCTAGAAGAAAACGCATGTACGAGGGGTACTGTGACAGCTACAGTTGTGGGGTATAGGCATGGACCCGTACAGGCTGCAAGGGGTTGTGTACATGTAAGTTAGCCTGTAGCTTGTTAAGCCTAGCGCAGACTTGCGACTTTTGGTTGCTTGTCGCTGTGCAACCTGCGATCGGTCGCATGCTTCACCGTGTGTGCGCATGGAATAGGCTAACGCTCCATTAGGAGTGTTCCCAACTTTGATATCATTAATGATTAATGATTAATGATTAATGATTAATGATTGATAATCCTAACCCTAACCCTAACCCTAACCTAAATTACATTAAACCACAAACTAATATATGACCATGACCATATATATATATACAAGAGCTAATAATACCTAGAGTGTACAACGGAAAAACGGGAAAATAGTGCTATTTCACGACAACATTATTCTACTTTGCCTGCGAGTCTATAATAATTTCATGGTATTGCATTAAGCAGAATTCTTTGCTCTCTAAAACAAGACCAACCGCTTGTCAATACGATACTCCTAGGCGGAGATATCGGCTCCTAAACCTCCCCTCCCACATGCCAAACGCCGCCTCGAATCCACTTCTGTCCCCATCCTTCACGCGGCTAAGCGTTGCTTCGTGAGAGTTCGGTTTTTCCGCCATAATTTTATGAATGATTTTCGGGTGCAGGTGCAGGGTGGAGGTGACTTTCGGGGGCATCGCCTATGCCCTTATCTCCCATTATCTTTCCTAGCACGGCTAATGCCCGTCATGATGGAGCCGGCAATGTTTTTTTAATTAAGTCTCTACAACGCAGCTAGTAAGAGTACCAAATTTGGGCATGTGACATCAATTATCAGCGCTCCAAGCGGTGACGGAAACCGATAGCCGAAATGCTTAGACGCGTGAAGGATGGGGACAGAAGTGGATTCGAGGCGGCGTTTGGCATGTGGGAGGGGAGGTTTAGGAGCCGATATCTCCGCCTAGGAGTATCGTATTGACAAGCGGTTGGTCTTGTTTTAGAGAGCAAAGAATTCTGCTTAATGCAATACCATGAAATTATTATAGACTCGCAGGCAAAGTAGAATAATGTTGTCGTGAAATAGCACTATTTTCCCGTTTTTCCGTTGTACACTCTAGGTATTATTAGCTCTTGATATATATATATATATGTTATTATGACCATTAATGACATTAAAGTTGAGAACACTCCTAATGAGGTATCACCCTGCAAGCGACTGCTGTTTTACAGCAGTCGCTTCTTTCCATTGTCTTTCCATGACATATTACCCACACACATGCGATTTCGAAGCCATTGCGAGCGACGAGTTGCTGAAAATCAAACCTGTTTGATATCTTGCAACTCGTTGCAAGCGACCAGAATCGCTACGAGTTGCAGTTGCACGTTCCCGCAGACTTACGACTTTTTCATGCAACTTGGCTGCGTAGCCGAGTTGCATGAAAAAGTCGCAAGTCTGCGCTAGGCTTTAGATATTCCCCAGGTGCTTGGCCCAGGTTTGAGCTTGCTAATGAACGCTGCTGTGCAGGATGGGCCGATGGCAGATTTTTCGCTTTTAGTTTATTATGTAATATGTATTGATGAATATTGAATGAGTTGTGAGTGTTTCCATGGATGGAGAATAATTATAACACGAGTTTTCCACTTGGGCATCATAATGCATTGCCTCAGTTGAACTGTACACAAGTTCTTCTCGGATTTAATACATTAGTTTTAATCGGAGGCATATTGCCTGTCCCGGTGGAGTTTCTAGCTGTACAAAGATTTCATTTATCCATATGTTCACTCGTTAGTTCGGTCGGTCATCGTTTCGTTAATTCATTATTTTGTTGTTAGAGACATCCCAGATTATACCTGCTTGATGATAACTTTTTTTCAAAATGTTTGCACATTTTAATGTTGTAATGGCAAATTTCGGACAGGCCTATGGGGTAATTATTTGTACTGCTAACTGTGTATACTCTGGTAGTAGACACTTCAATAATGAGAAATTATCGATGAAATCTTCATCATATTGATGGCCCTGCTGCACGTATACCAGATGTTATGCTTATATGTCATGGAGTGTTTAATACTGTCACACATTTATCATACGTGTGTACATATGCATGTGCATATATACGTATGCAGTGTACTAAGCGATCAATTTTTATCAGTGTAAAAATGTGTTTGTGTTATTTGTGATATCTGTCTGTTTACACTAGAAGTAAATCAATCTTTTTTGCTCTGTACTATTGGCTTGCACAGTACTAATTTGCTGTTCTACCATGAGCTCACCTTTATTAGAATCTTCTTTCCATGCATGTCTAGATAAACTTTCTATTTAATGTCTCATGTACCTGGGTAGCTATTGCTCTACTGGTCTAAATGTGTCTAAATCTATTACTGTTTTAAATGGGAATTTGAACCGTAACAGGTTACGTTTTATATGTCGTGCATGTAGATAACTGTAGTTTATAGCACTGTATGCACTCGATTGGCTTATTATCTGAGTGCACTGGCAATGTAGTTGTGATGTGTAGTTGTTACGTGTGTTCCACGACGTTTATATTATTAAATGTAAAATTTGAAAAGACAAATTTACCACGTGTACATGTTATTACTTGCAGGGCGACCAGTATCGCAGCTACAGCTTTCCTGGATTCCTTTCAGAAAGTAGCTGACATGGCCACCAACACGAAAG